GGAGGCGAGGTGGGCGTGGATTGGAGCCGGGGTGGCGGGCAGCAGCAACCGGGAGGTGCAGCGACAACGATGGCGGGGGGGAGAGGGGGCATCAACGACCGGCAAGAAGAAGATGGCGACAATGCGACGAGAGGATCACAACATGAGTTGCGCGTGCGAAAGAATAGACCTAAGTCTAATACCATGTTAGAAAATATGCAACTTGTATTTTCTAGGGCCAAGGGACAGTGTATACACACACACACACACACACACACACACACACAATATACATGTGGTAAATATGCAAAAAGCTCCTTGTACTAATGGGAAAGTATACATGCTACATGCAAACGTGATATAACTCTAACAGTCACGATCCCTTGCCTCATTCCTACTGCCGCCTCCCCCTCACAGCCTCCCACAATTCACTTCCTAGTTCATCCTGACGCCTACCCCCACCCCCAGGCCCAGGCCCCATCCTCCTACTGTAGGTCTGATGGCCTCCATCCCCTTCACTCGGGGTTTGAAATTCAAATGGCTATGCTAAATCTTGTAGTGCCACCACTCTTGTCGGAACCGGTGCCTTCATAGAAAACTTGCGGTGTCTGTTAATTACGGGTGATCCCCTTTTAGGCATGGCAGATTTCTTGTGATTTTTTTTTCAAACTGCATATATTTTTAGACTTCGTCATGATTTGGAGTGCAGCTTTAAACAACATAATGCATATGACCTGCTGCTAAAAGAATATAGCTGAGGTTTCTTGCAAGTATGCTTTCTATACTACATATGTTAAGTATCAAATCAGGGGCAATGACAGCATCACAGGTCGGCCGCATAAGAGAATCACAAGGGCACACTGTCGTAGGAAAGGCCATGTTGCTGCACGGTGACGCAAGATAAATAACTAAAATATGGTCGGTTGATTAACAATATGAACATAAGTTTGGCACATATGTAAATTTGTTCACAAAATACCATGTCAAAGCAACTGTTCAGATTTAGTATTCTACAACAAAATAAGATTTAGTACTCAAGGTTTTTGTGATGAAATACCTTCAACAGTAGCATCATGGCTTTTTATTTTTGTAGTATTATTACTGAACTTGTATCTTGATCCATAGTCATATAAATCTTTACAAGAAAATTTTGATCAGCTGAAAGAACAGATCAAGAAAGCATAATCGGTTTATGTCCAGACGTCTAATAAAATCCAAAATTGTCAATGGGCACAAAACACGGTTCTTCATTGGGAAATAATCTATGAATTCATATGGTGCTTTTATTGATTTTTTAGTACACGGCAAGAAAGTTTTTCCTTTGAAACAATTACATGGCAACAAAGTAGTCAAAAGAAAGAACAAGGACAGACTTTAACAAACATAGATTGATTTTGGTTTGGATCCACCGAGCAGAACTTGCGGAACAGGTGTGGCGGGGTGTGACTTTTGATCCATCGATTGCCGTTTAGGCCAGCTGGAGCGTTGGAGAAGAATTGGAAGACCTAATTACAGATTTGGGGGAACTGGAGAAGAAAGAATAGAGTGCTTGCATTCTGTACGAGAAACCTCGCTGCCGGCGGCTGTACATACGCCAGACCGATTGCTAACCTAGACATTCTTTTCCCTGAGTGAATTCAGATTGCTGGCCGGTGCTGTGTGGAACTGCTTAGGCCAGGCCCAGTATG